ACAAGGTCCACGGGTCAAGGGGTCAGGAGTGCTGCCTGCCGTCTACAGTGCCAGACCTCCCTCCACGCCCACTGCCCACAGAGCCGGGACCCTGAGATCCGTACCCAGACACTGGCACACCACGTTCTGCTTGGGGGCGATGGTGCTCTCCAGGCAGAAGACCAGGAAGTTTGAGTAGTCGGTGTCTATCACAAACATCTTGTTTTCATCCAGGTCTGGAAAAGAAACCAGGACAGGGACAGACCTAAGTTCTGAATTGTCAGTTTACACAGGAGATGCGTGCTGGTCAGATCTTCTCGTACAAGGATCTGGAAACTGTTGTGGCCACCGGGTAAGCAGTGGCTTTGTCCTCAGTCTTGCTGCCCTCTCAAATGCTCCTCCCCACCTTCTCGATGGTGCACAGATGCTTTCATACCTGTGAACAGAGAAGGGGAACCTGTCCCCTCCAACAGTCCCAAGGGATTATAGATCAACAAGTGCTGTCAAGTCAGTTCTGACTCATAGTGACCCTGTGGAGAGTTTCCAAAGAGCAGCTGGTTTGTAACAGGCCAGTGCTTACCCTACAGGGCCACAACAGTCCTCCTTACAGATGGATGTCAAAGCTCCAATAGGATTAGCAGAGTCCTCAGTAGTCTCTGTGACTCTCTGCCTCCTGGATGGGTAAGGACTTATCTCATCACCCCTCCCTCAACTCTTCCTTTATCTGTCCATCCATCTGCTCTTTCTTCCATCTATCAATTCATCCACTCATCCTTCCCCTTCACCCAACCATCCTCTCATCCTGAGTCCATCCATCCACACATCTACTTATCATCCACTCACCTATCCATGTATCCATCTGTGCATCCTCACACCATCCATCCATCCATCCACTCATCCACCCATTCATCTCTACACCATTCCCTCCATCCACTCATCCTTCATCCATCTATCCATCCACTCATCCATGCATCCATCCACTCCACTATCCATTCATATATCTGCCTACCACCCACCCATCTATCTATCTAGCCCTCCTTCCACCCACTCATTCATTCCTCCATCCATTAATTAATCTACCCACTAATCCATCCATCCTTCTACCACTCTCACATTCAAAATCCCAGGTGACTACTTTAGATGAGCCTCTGATTCAAATTGGCTGAGAAATAGACTCTCATGCTGAGCCTGGGGAGACGCTTGGGTACCAAGCAACAGAATGAAAAGGGTGAAGAACTGTTTTGTGATATGCAGTGACATGTGATGGAGAATAGATGGCCCGGAGTGGCAGGTGCAGTTTCTAGGACTTGAAGCTGAGGAAGCAGGAGGCTTGCTGACTTGAGCCAGTGGGACCCACCTGGTTATACACTAGCATCGTGTACAAAGCTAGCCAAGGAAACACCGCTCTCCAGACCTCTCACCTGTGTCTGGTAATTGTTAGACTAGGACTCACACCAGCACAGCGTGGATGCCCCCACTGAGGGTGCCCACCCTGTCCCACCCATGGCCCTGTGCACTCACATCTGGTACTGAACTCAGTAGGGATCTCGGTTTTCTGGGCAATGATCTTCTTCTCCACACACCTGTCGTTCTCCCTAAAACCCAATTAGTCTGTGAGCCCTGGGCCCCAAGTCCACCCAAAATGTGTTATTTTAACCACTACCATTCTGGAGTTCTGGTGTGGCACTGTAGGATAAACACTGGACTGCTAGCCATAAAGTCACCAGTTCAAACCCACCACCCAATCCTTGAAATCCTATACAGGCTTGCTCTGAATCGGAACTGACTCCAGGGAACTTAACAACAACAACAACAACATATGCATTTAACACAATGTACACGTTCTCCCTATTGTGAAATCATCCATTTCCAAAAGCTTCCCCTCTCCCCGAACATCTCAGGAATGCCCACTGCCCAGGGCCCCCTGACTGGCCTGCAGTGCCCAGCCCTGCCTCCCACTGATCTGCTCATAGATGGTCCCTGGTGGGTCCAGGCAGTCAATCTGTAGGTCCAGAAGTCCTTGGACTAGACTGAGGGGACCAGGAACCTCCTGAGACCTCATCCCCATCCCAGCACACCTGGCCCTGGCTGACAAGAGCACTCCTGTTAGATGCACACCTGGAGCCAGGTCTCACTAGGAATTGTCCCCCAGGGTGGCTGAGTCACTCTGCACCCAGTCCCTTGGCCGAGGCCCATGGGCAAACCCACCTCTTGACCATGAAGATCTCCATGTTGCCCTCGGGGGTGGGCTGCACATCCTTGACAGACATTCTCAGAGGGGCGTCTTCCTTCTCCAGGAGGGCCCGGTTGTTGGTGACCAACATCACAGTGTACCAGGGCCCTGACAGCTGAGGGGAGGGCCATGAGGGGCTCCCATGAGGGACAGGAGGGGTCTTTCCCACCCCCACAGTGTGCTCTCCCCACCCCATCTAGCGAAGCATAGAGATCTCAACCCTCAAACACTGGACTGGGGCTGAGACTGAGGAGCAGACACTGACCCCATCATAGGGAACTCCCTTCTCATTGACCCGAGGAATATTCTAGAAAACTCTCCCTCTGAACCTGAGGGAGGGGCCAGCTGAGCTCTTCACCAGGAGAGACTAGAGATTTGGATCTTGGGGAGTCAGGGCTTGGAGCTGGGAAGGTTTCCTAAAGATTGGGGCAAGGTCTCCCATATCTCATGATCCTCTGAGCCCCAGCTCCCACCCATCCTGCACCCCCATGGGACAGCTGTCCTCTAACCTTCTGCACATCCACGTTTCTCTTGGCTGGGTAGATGGCATGGATGCTGCAGATAAGGGCCAGGCCCAGGGCGAGCAGGAGACACTTCATGGTGACAGCAGAGGTGTGCTTCTGAGCTGTGGAGAGCGAGATGACCTAGGCAGTGTTCCCTGGGCCTTATATAGGAGGGTAGTGAGATCCCTGAACCCAGGGCCTGTCTGTCTGCCATGGGTTCTGTGAATCTCAGATCCATCGCCCTCGGGTCTTCCTCAGTGAGGACAATACCAGCTTCTTCCCTCCTTGTCTGAACAGGAAGTTCTCTGTGTCCCCAGGTCTGGTCAGTTCCTGGTAGTCACAGGTGGGAGGGGTGTGGGGTCTGCTCCAGGCTGACCGCCAGGGTCGGGGCACTTCTTGGTGAGGTTCTTGGACAAGGACATGTCAGAGCACTGTCCTGCAGGGGCACAGCTGTGTCCAGGGCCAGATCAAGGCAGGTGAGGGCTGTATCAGTGACAGCCTGGGATGCACGTGCCTGTGTGTGCACATGTCTTTGTGCTCACGTGAGTGTGTGTACACGCATGTGTGTCCATAGTCCACATGCTGGTGTGTGTGCATGTGAGTGTGAATGTGTTTACATGTGTGCAGTGCATGTGTGCATGTGTGTCTGTGTCTGTGCACTGAATGTGTGCCTGTGATCACATGGCAGTGTGCCTGTGTGCATGTGCGTGTGCATGCACTGCATGTGTGTCCATAGTCCAGGTGCTGGTGTGTGTGCACATGTGAGCATTAACATGTTTGCATGTGTGCACGTGCATGTGTGTCCATAGTCCACATGCTGGTATGTGTGAATATGTGAGCATGAATGTATTTGCACTGCATGTGTGCCTGTGTGCACTTCATGTGTGCCTGTGTGCCTGTGTGTGCACATGTGTGTGTGTTCCACCCTATGCTCCTTGCCCAGAGCTTTCCCCACACTTCCAAGGTGTCCATGACCCTCTGCTCTGCACCCTCCAGATGACCACAGAGACCTTGGTGCCACGGGTACTGCCCCCAAAGGTCCTCCCACAGGGCTGTGGGGTCAGCTTAGCCTCAGCCTCTGAGAGCCTGGGTTGGAGTGAAGAATCCAAGAAAACATTGGGAGTTCGGGGGATGTTGCCTAAGCAGCCATTCTCAGGTGCTCACTGTTTAACGGTGTCTGGTCATGTCCAACAAGGTTGAATGAGAAGATCTAGAAGAACTGGGGCCCTGACGCCTGGCTGGAGGCTGAAGTAACAAGCATGGGCTTGTGTGGGAGCAGGCTCTGGGATGGGATGAGAATGGCACTCTGTCACTTTGTTTGTAGTGGGAGTTGTGAGGGGTGTAATTGGGGGGTTTCATATAGAGTCAAATGTGTGGTTATTCAACTGCCTCCATGTGGGTGGTGGGCATTGGGGTGGTCATGGAGCTTGTTGTGGTATGGGGAACAGCACCTAGACCCTCAGTCCTTTGTGGAACCAAGTAGAGAAACACGCATGGACCAGAAGAGAGAAGAGCTGAAGCTGAGAGTACGCCCCCGAAACCTCGTCTTCCAAGAACACAGGAAGACGTTCAGGCCTGTGAGCAGCTGAGAGGACCTGATGTGTGTGCATATGTGTTTGTGTATGTGGGTATGTATGTGTGTGTATGTGTGTGTATATGTGTGTGTGTGTGGAAATTCTCCAGCAAGGTGCCAGTGTACACTGTGTGCCCAACAGTCCCCTCCCCCTCTCGCCTTCCTCCTCCCTCCTTCCTGGTCAGCAGGCTCTGAGCCAGAGAAAGGACACCCCTGCCATTCCGTGTGGGGAGGGAGCTGTGAGGACGAGGTGCTCTTGAAGCTCTGCTGGCAGCTGTTGAGCACCACAGGTGACCCATGGTGTCCACCTTCCTGGAATCTGAACGTCATGGAATCAGGTTTTTGAGATGCTCAGGCTGTTTTGCTTATAGAGCGTCTGAAGGACACAGAACAGTAACATCTGCTCACGATGAGAGTGCATTGAGAACGTTGGCTCAAAGCTTTAACAGAAAACCACCCTGGAATGCTTCTCCACAGAGTCGGTGTCCACCACCATGATGTGTCCCTGCCCTTCGTCAGACAAGGGCAACTTTGTGAGAGTTCAGTAGGAAGTCGTTTGGCAGCCCCCTTATACTCATAATGTGACCACTTCTGACTTCTTTTTTGTTTCCTAATCTTAAAAATGGATCTTGGCTGAAAGCAGGGAGTATCAGAAAGATGTTTACTTGTGCTTTATTGAATACACAAAGGCTTTCGATTGTGTGGATCATGACAAGCTAAGAACAACATTGCGAAGTACAAGTATTCCTGAACACTTAATTGTGCTCCTGAGGAATCTGTACATGGATCAAGAGGCAGCTGTTCAAACAGAACATGGGAACACTGAATGGTTTCAAATTAAGAAAGGTGTGCAACAGGGTTGTATTCTTTCACCATACTTATTCAACCTGTATCTGAGCAAATAATCCGAGAAGCTGGGTTATACTGTCAGGAGGGACCAGTCGCTGGAGAAGGGTATCATGTTTGGTAAGGTGGAGGGTCAGAGAAAAAGAGAAAGACCCCCAGCGAGATGGATTGGCAAAGTGGCAGCATCGATGGACTCAAGAGTAGCAACAGTAGTGAGGTTGGCCCAGGATCGGGCAGTGCATAAGGTCTGCTGTGAATAAGGTCGCTATGAGTTGGTACCAACTCGGTGGCACCTAACAACAACAATATACAGTAGGTTTGCCTAATGCAATACATCGTTTAATTTTTTGACTTCTGCTTCCATGAGTGTTGATGGTTGATCTGAGCAAAAGGAAGTCTTGGACAACCTCAATCTTTTCTCCATTGATCATGATGTCATGTATTGGTCCAGTGATGAGGAGTTTTGTTTTGTTTACGTTGCAGTGTAACCCATATCTAAGACTGTGGCCTTTGATCTTCATCAGTAAGTATTTTTAGTCCTCTTTGCTTTCAGCAAGCAAGATTGTATCATGTGTATATCACAAGTTGTTAATCAGACTTCTTTCAATCCTGATGCCATTTTTCTTCATATAATCCAGCTACTTGGATTATTTGTTCAAAATGCAGATTGAATGGTGGTGGTGGTGGTGATGTGCCATGGAGTTGGTTCTGACTCATAGCGATCCTGCATAGGGTTTCCGAGGCTGTAAATCTTTACAGGAGCAGAAAGCCTCATCTTTCTCCCATGGAATAGCTGGTAGTTTTGAACTGCTGACCTTGAGGTTAGCAGCTGGTGAAAGAATACAACCCTGGTGCACACCTTTCCGATTTTAAACCATTCGGTGTTCCCTTGTTATGTTGGAACAACTGCCTCTTGATCTATATATAAGTTCCTCATGAGCACAATTAAGTGTTTTGGAATACCCATTCTCTGCAACGTTGTCCATAGCTTGTCATGATCCACATAATCAAAAGCCTTTGCATAGTCAATAAAGCATGGATAAACATCTTTCTAGTATAGTTTGCTTTCAGTCAAGATCTATCTAACGTCAGCAATGACGTTCCACGTCCTCTTCTGAATCCTCTGAAGGTTCTCTGTCAATGCATGGTTGTAGCAATTTTTGAATTATCTTTAGCAAAAATTTACTTGCATGCAATATTAATGATATTGTCAGATGATTTCCCCATTCCGTTGGGTCACTCTTTTTGGAATGGGCACAAATATGGATCTCTTACAGTTAGTTGGCCAGATAGTTGTCTTCCAAATCTCTTGGCAGAGATGAGTGAGTGCCTCCAGTGATGCATCAATTTGTTGAAAGATTTCAATTTGCAATCCATCAATTCCCAGAACCTTGTTCTTTGCCAGTGCCTTCAATGCACCTTGGACTTCTTCCTTCAGTATCATTGGTTACCTTTTGACATGGCTGAACACCGACCATTTCTTTTGGACTCAGTGACTCTGTGTATTCCTTCAATCTTTTTTTTTTTTTGATACTTTTTGCATCATTCAATATTTTGCTTCCAGAATCCTTCAATATTTTAAGTCAAGGCTTGAATTTTTTCTTTAGTTCCCTCAGCTTGACAAATGCTGAGTATGTTCTTCCCTTTCAGTTTTCTAACTCCAGGGCTTTGCACATTTCAGTGTAATATTTGACTTTATCTTCTCCAGATGCTTTTGGAAATTTTCTGTTCAGCTCTTTACCTCCTCATTTCTTCCATTTGTTTTAACATCTCTATGCTGGAGAGCAAGTTTCGGAATCTCTTCTGACATCCATTTTGGTCTTTTCCTTCTTTCTTGTCTTCTTAATGACTTTTTGCTTTCTTTTTGTTTGATTTATTGATGTCGTCCCACAACTCTTCTGGTCTTCAGTCTTTAGTGTCTAATGTATCAAATCTGTTCTTCAGATGATCTCTAAATTCAGGTGGGATATGTTCAAGGTCATATTTTGGCTCTTGTGGACTTGTTTTTAATTTTTTTCAGCACCAGTTTGAACTTGCATATGAGCAGTTGATGATTTGCTCCACAGTCCATCCATGGCCTTGTTTTGGCTGATGAGATGGAGCTTTTCCACTCTTTTTCCACAGATAATAATCCATTTGGTTTCTGAGTATCCTATCTGGTAAGGCCCATGTGTATAGTTGTCTTTTATGAAAAGATACTTGATATCCCAAGTGATAAGTGTTATAACATTTCTGCTAAACTTGGAGCAAATGTTGAAAATGTTCTCTAGGCAGTCATTGAAAGAATACCCCCTCCTAAAGTGCAAACTCCCTGAGAGCTTTGGGATTTGACTCCACCTTTGATCGGTACAGGGGTGTGATAGCTCATGTAGGATTATGTGATGGAATGGTTTCTAATGGAGATAAAATTGCATACTCTTAAAGACCTACGATGTTAACAAAGTAGGAGTTCGGAATCCTAATGTTCTGAATCAGTCAACTCATAAATTATATGCAGGACTGGTGGGCTATCTGATTGCTGCAATGAAAAATGTCGCTGAAGCACAAATAGGAGACACATTATATTTACATAAGCAACCAGAGGAACCCTTGCCTGGGTTTAAATCAGTGAAACAAATGGCATTTTCAGGAATGTACCCTATTGACCAGTCTGAATATAATAAACTAAAGAGTGTTGCGGAGAAACTGACCTTAAATGACTCTGGTGTCACAGTGTATTGGGATTGCAGCCTTGCTTTAGGTTCGGGCTGGAGGTTGGGATTTCTTGGACTGTTGCATATGGAAGTGTTCAACCAGCAACTAGAGCAAGAAAATAATTCTTCTGTTATTTTCACAACCCCCATGGTTCCATATAAAGCCATTCTTTCATCAGCAAAATTGATAAAGGAATATAGAGAAAAAGAAATTATGATCATCAACCCTGCACAATTCCCTGAGAAATCAAAAGTAACAGAATATTTGGAGCCAGTTGTTACAGGTACCATTATCACACCAGATGACTAT